CTCTACTAAAAATACAAAAAATTAGCCAGGCGTGGTGGCAGGCGCCTGTAGTCCCAGCTACTCAGGAGGCTGAGGCAGGAGAATGGCATGAACCCGGGAAGCAGAGCTTGCAGTAAGCCAAGATCGTGCCACTGCACTCCAGCCTGGGTGACAGAGCGAGACTCCGTCTCAAAAAAAAAGAAATAAATAAAATAAAATAAAATAAAATAATCTCAAAAAATAAAATAAAAATAAAAAATACACATTTGCATTTCCTCACCAGTTCCATTTCACAGATGAAGAAACTGAAACTTTAAGAGGATATATTTTGCATCAGAGTCACAGAGATAGAGCCTGGATCAGATCCCAGGTCTGTCTGGACAGAGTCCCTCTGCCCTTAAAAGCTCAGCTGTGCTTTATTTACCATTCATTCCACGAACAATTATTGAGCACCTGCTATGTGCCAGATACTGTGGTAGGCATTAGGGATATGGATGTGAACGAAACAGAGGAAGTCCCTGCCCTCATGGAGCTTACATTTTCAGCATAGGATGAGACACAATAAACCTGTAAACCAGCAGATAATTACAGATTGTGACAAGGACTATGAAGAAAAAAAGTGAAGAGAGAGGAAGACACAGAGGACTAGTGAATCCTCTTCAGGTTGGGAGATCAGGAAGAACTCTCTGAGAAGGTGACATTTAAATTGATACCTGAAGGGTGAAGAAGAGCCAGTCAGAGGGAACAGCAAGTATAAAGGCCTTGAAGTACAGAAATAAGTTTGGTGAGTTCAGAACAAAAAGCAGACCAGTATGGTCTAGATAAACATCTGTTGTTATTTTAGTCCTGGTCTAGCTTCTTGGTAGAGTTTAACTTCTTCCCTCCCTTTGGCTGCCTCACCTCCCTACAAGGGCCCTTCCTAGATGCCAGAATTTATGAATTGCAAAGTCATTGATTCCAACCCTCTGTTGATGTGCCAAGTGCCAGGATGGTATCTGCACTCACTTCCAGTCCAGCACCTGCAAGTTGCTTCTTGTGATGGGAGCTCATTGACACCAGAAAATGTGGGGTAGGAGGGTTGAATGATAAGAAATGAGGTTAGATCATGTACGTTCCCTCCCTGAAGAGAGAGGTGGTAGGGTCTGGGGAGGATCTCAGTGAAGTTGGTCTGGTCAGTGGGTTTATGGGAAGAGAGAATTGGACCAAAAAGAGACCCTGTGGGGCCTAGAGTGCAAGGCTGAGGGGCTGGAACCTTGTCCCAGGGGTACTGGGGAGCCATGAAAGGATTGTGAGCAGGAGGGTCTGGGTCAGCTCTGGGTATAGGAAGGCCTTTCTGAGGTCATGTAGAAGAAAACCTGGAGGGGAGAGACTGGAGGTCAGGGTAGAAGCTGGCATGAGGGATTTAGGGGAAAAGAACAAGGCCTGAACAGAGAACAGAGGATGGGGCAGAGAGAGTCAGGGGGCAGTAGGGATGGGGCAGTAGTGGGCTATTGGGGAGGGAGGGAGTGATGACAGTACCTGGAGATATAACCCGGTCCTCCTGCTCCCACCAAGCTGGAGAAGGGAAACCTTCGAGTAAAGCAGCTGAAGCGGCAGCTGGAGGAGGCGGAGGAGGAGGCATCCCGGGCTCAGGCCGGCCGCCGGAGGCTGCAGCGTGAGCTGGAGGATGTCACAGAGTCGGCCGAGTCCATGAACCGTGAAGTGACCACACTGAGGAACCGGCTTCGGTATGGTCATCCCACGTGTAGGCCTGGCGGGTGGGCAGCACCCTCACTCCACAAACCCCAGGGACGCGAGGCTTTGTCAGGTGCAACAGGAGGGGAAATGGGATCGATCCATGGGGGCGTGGGGCTGTGGGAACAGCGGCTGTGTTGCTGGAGAGCCAGATCCAGGTAACTTCTTTCTTCCCACACGCGTTTCTCCCTGTCTCATCTCTGTGCCCTCCGTTCCCACCACCGCCTTTCTCTCCTCTCCTCCTCCGTGTCTCCTTCATCTCTCTCTGCCCCCCATTGCTTCTGCCCGTCTCCCTCCATTTCTCTTGATCTCATCTCTCTCTTCTCCCTTATTTTGTTCTCTCTCTCTCTCTCCTCCCCTCATTTCTTCTCTGTACCCTGGTCTCTCCTTCCCACAGACGCGGCCCCCTCACCTTCACCACCCGTCTCCTTCCCACAGACGCGGCCCCCTCACCTTCACCACCCGT